CCGCTCAGAAAGAACCGCTTGGACCTGAGGTGCCTTGCTCAGGAGCTGTTGGTGGAGACACTTTGTGTTTCCTTTGTCCACCTGAAGCTCCTGACCGTGGCTGCTGTGAGGCATCTGATCCACTGATGGACTTTATTTCTCAACGTCCTGCAGTGAAAGTTTGAAGAGGAAATTAGAAGAAGATTCCCATGGGACGCCTGATAAATTACCAAACTTGTCCGTCCAGCTTCGGAGTTCCTGAATGTAGAGTTTTCAACAAAGCATGGACTGCTAAGTATTTTTCTGCTGAAGTCAGCAGAAAAGCCGCGTGTTCAGTTTGCAGAGAGCAGATCGCTGTGTTTAAAGATTAGAATTTGAGTTTTCATGACGGGACGAAACATGCAGATAAATGCAAGCACTGGAAGCCTTGCTAGCTAAGCTTTGCTGTGCTTTTTCTACCAAGCTCCACACATCCAGGGATGAGACCAGATATGATATCCCACAAAATCGGTGAAACAGTTCGCTATTCTCACAGGGAGAGTTTATCACAGAGTGCTTGGTGGACTCTGTAACACTAATACGCCCCGAGACAGAAGAAGCATTTGAACAGGTCCCACTGTCCAGGTGAACGGTGACGAGAAGGATCGAGGACGTTGCTGCTAATCTGGAGCTTCAGCTGCAAACTGAAGGGGCAAGTTTAGACTTTTTCTCCTTGGCTTTGGACGAGAGCTGTGATGTCCGTGACTCGTAAACACACCCTTCAGGGTTTCAGATAAAGAACATAAGTTGACGACTGTCGAACACATGAGCTGCTTTTAACTACAAAAAGTTCAAATAAACTCTCCTGAACACCAGCAGCTGTTTAGCGGGGCACCTGCTGTATGTACGTGGAAATACTGAAGCAACATCTCCAGACATCAGCAGGAAGTTACAGCTTGGGCACTAATGGGTCTTCAGATGGACAATGACCCTCAGCATAGCGCCAGATTAGCTACAGAGAGGCTTCAGGACAACAGAGTCAGTGTTGTGGAGTGGCCATCACAAAGCCCTGATCTCCATCCTGGAGAACATCAGTGGAGCAAGGAGACCAACAAACCTGACCCAGTTCTACCAGTTCTGTCAGGAGGAATGGACCAGAACTCATCAGACTGTTGTGAGAAGCTTGTGGAAGGAAACCCAGAACGTTTGACCCAAGTCATACAGTTTAAAGGCAAAGCTACCTGTAGCAGCCATTTATTTCTGTGTTTGTTTATTCATTTATTTTCGTTGCAATACATGCTTGTTCAGGACTGCTGCTAATAGTCTGGACGAGTTTACAGACTCTGTGATGGCCTCCATCAGCTGCTGTGAGGACAGCTGTGTGCCAACACGCACCAACGACAAACCTGGTTCACAGCTAAAGTCAGACGGCTCAGGTCAGACAGAGAGGCAGCATTCAGGAGTGGGGACGGAGACGGTTTCAGAGAGGCAAAGGAGGTGAGAAGAGCCGAGCGTCGGTACTCTGAGAAGCTCCAACACTAGTTCTCAGCCTCTGTGTGGAGACGGCTGAGGCAGATAACCAACCACAAGCCTCAGAGCTGCTGACGACCTGCGTCTGGCCAACAGCCTGAATGAGCACGACTGCAGATCTGAAAGACAATGGGACAGTCCTGACTCCATCCCCCACCACACCTCAGACCAACCACCACCCATCACCTGAACCTCCACCATCACAGCAGGAGCCCCACCACAGCTGCCCACCTCAGAGGCTCCCTCCCTCCCTTCCTCCCACAGCGACACCTTTCTCCATCCAGGAGAAAGATGTCAGCTCTCTCATTAAGAAAGCACAACAGAGGATGTACTTCCTGCGGCAGCTGAAGAAATTGTAAATGTAAATAACAACATATCAGCACCCTCAATACTTCTGTAAGCACACTACCATTCCTATTGTAATGCAACTTTGATTCTTTGCACTATTACAGTTATTTTTATTTTTAGTCACTTTATTTTACTGTATATTTATGATTGTTGTTTTGTTGCACCAACCCACCAGAACAAATTCCTCGCATTGTGAGAATTATACCTGGCAATAAACCTGATTCTGATCCTGATTCTGATTCTGATTCTGATTGTACTGCGTGGGGCACTGGCAGCTTCCAGTGGGACTGTATTCTACTGTTAGGTTACTCAGGCCAGGTGTGCAGGATTGAGACGAAAAGTCTTTTGCCCACAAAGTAGAGACGATGTCGAGGTAACTGCAGATGGGGGCAGTACGGTTAATAGGCTACCTAATATCTATATATTGCTTATTTGTGGAAACAAAGACCAACTGGAATTACCTGGACGTCGTTTTGTGTGAGATAAGCCTGGCGTGCGACATCATGTAGCGACAGTAGGCGACAGTGGAAAGCCTCGTACGCTACCAAATACTGAGGAGATGGATGTAAACGTCTGACTATGAAGAAAGTAGTAAAAAATTCTCTCATTATTCTGGCATTTAGCAAATATAAATAACGTTTGTAATCCTGACTGACCTGAAACAGGAAAAGTTTCATCTGATTTAATGTCAGACAAAGAGAAAAGAAAAGGTTCTTATGTCTTTTATACAGTGGATGTAAATATCTGGTTTCAACTGTATATATTGTTTTTTTCTTTCTTCCTTCCTTTTTTCTTTTTGTAAAAATACCAAAAAGATCACTTTTTTATTCTTATTTTTTTATTATTAAAAAAAACACCAAAAAAAAACATATCTAGGATTCAATCTGTTGTCTCAAGTTAGCAGTAATGGATATTTATTATTATTCCTGCTTGTTTTTATTCTATTTTTCTTTCATAGGAAATGTTTTTATTTTTATTTACATTAATTCCTTTTTTTAAAAAGTGTTTTTATTTCATCTCCTTCTATTTAAATTCGTAGCTTTATTGAACCAGCAGGAGGCGACAAACTCACAATCTGCTGCTGTGGTGGTGCCTTCAGAGCCAGCTGGGAATTGATACACTTTTTGTCTCTCAGCTTTCTGACATGGACAGTTCACAGTCAAGTTTTAATAGTTTTGCTGCTTTCATCACAGAAGAATCATTTGCTGTTATTTTCAGTTTCGTTTTCAGTGGTTAAATCTTCACCCGTCTTTTATTTATTTTATTTCCGGTTCTCTTGCTGCCAGATTTTCGCCACTTTTTTACAGCTTTGTTTTCCAGGTTACCTTGAACACATATTTGCAGCTTTCCAGAGACTCTGGACCTGAAGCTGAATCGTCCCAGCGGCCCTGAACGCACCGTGGTCCCTCGCCGCTGTCCGCGGTGCTGAAGCTCCCGCGGCTTCCGGTCCGCTCGCTCACCTCCACCTGTCAGGTGTCGCCGCGGTCACGTGACGCCGATGCGCTCATTGTTGTTGTTGTTCGGTGGAAGCAGCGCGAGCGGCCCCGCGGGGCCCCGCACGGACTCGCGTCTCGTGCTCGACGCGGGGAGGCTCGTGGGCGGCGGAGGGCGGCGCGCTGACGTCACGCGAGAACGTGAGACCCTCGAAGATCGTCTGTACCGGAAGATGGCCACTGTTACCACAGCAACGGGACGTAACGTTAGTAAAAAATAGTTAATTGACGGATTTTTGGATGTGTTTGAAAGAAAAGTGTTTGTTTCTGATTTTTGTCTTTTTCTTTATTCTGTCGTCCAACTTGCAGAAATGTGAGATTCAAGCACGAAAGCTGATTTATTTTGCATTTGTTCTGTAATTAGAAGTTCAATAAATTAAATAAAAATCAACGAGATCCACTGAAAACACGGATTTAATTACACTGCAGCTCAAATTCAGTTTGTTTTCGTGTCATTTCAGCTCGAAGCAGCAGTTTGTGATGTTCTCTTGTTTCCTCTGTAGTGATGCATCTCCTCATTAAACCATCTCCTCCTCCTCCTCCTCCTCCTCCTCCTGCTCTTCCTCTCAGACTGAAAATAGATCCAGCTGGGTTTGGTCTGGCCATCATCGGCTCCTGTTTCCACCAAAATAAACGGACGTTACCGGAGGATTTACCGTTGATCTGCTGCTCTTCACGCGTTTCTTGTTTTTTTTGTTTTTTTCATTCTACGTGAATCAGATTTTTTATTTTTTTGTTTTATAAATTTATTTTATTTTTTTGAATCCTTTATCAGCCTCGTTTTTATTCCCCAACCTCTCTGTCCGAAGTGATGTCTGTCGCGGGGTTGAAGAAGCAGTTCCATAAAGCCACCCAGGTAAGACCTCCATCACGTCTCCAACCGCATCTACACCTTTTCCTGCTTTTTCATTTTTAGAGGAATTTGTTTCATTAATTAGCCTCAAAAATGACATCCTCTGATATTAATCGTCTCATATTAAGATGGAAAAACGTTAAATGTTTAATACATTTCTGCTTTTTGTTGCTTTTAAAGCCCCTGAATTCAAATTTAAAAAGGTTTTTGTGTTTATTTGTTTCTCCAAGTTAGAAAAAAAACGCGTTTTTGTTTCCGGTTTTTTAATTAAAATAGACAGTTTTGTTTTCTCCACCATAAACGAGATCGATGGTTAAATTATTTAGTGTTTTCTCGCGATGTTTGGGGAGAATTTAAAGCAGGAAAAACCCCGTGAACACGTCCCGATGTAATATTACGTAACACTGGTGTGTGTGTGTCCGCGGCGCTGATTGGCTGCTGCCGCGCAACAGGGAATTCCCTCCTTCATCCCTTCATCTCCCATCTTTCATCCTTTTATCGCCCTCACTTCATCATCCTCTCATCTTCTCTCCTTCATCCTTTCATCCCTCCATCATCCCGTAATCCTTTCATTATCCCTCCTTCATCCCTTCATCCTATCATCATCCTCTCACCTTGTCTCTATCAGCCATTCATCCCTCCATCATCCCTTCATCATCCATCCTTCATCCCTTCATCCTCACTCTTTAATCCCTTCATCATCCCTCCATCATTGTCCCATCTTCTCTTCTTCATCCTTTCATCCTTCCGTCCTTCATCCCTCCAGCATCCCATAATCCTTTCATCATCCCTCCTTCATCCCTTCATCCTATTTTCATCCTCTCACCTGGTCTCTTTCATCCATTCATCCCTCCTTCATCCCTTCATCCTCACTCTTTAATCCCTTCATCATCCCTCCTTCATCATCCTCCATCTTCTCTTCTTCATCCTTTCATCCTTCCATCCTTCATCCCTCCATCATCCCATAATCCTTTCATCATCCCTCCTTCATCCCTTCATCCTGTTATCATCCTCTCATCTCTTCTTCATCCTTTCATCCCTCCATCATCCCATAATCCTTTCATTATCCCTCCTTCATCTCTTCATCATCCATCCATTCATCCCTCCATCATCCCTCCTTCATCCATTCATCCCTCCATCATCCTTTCTTCATCCTTTCACCAACCCTTTGACCAGGAAACTAAATCTGAGTTTCAAAACATGACTCTACATTACTATTGCTTAATTCCTTGCGTCTCTCTTTTTTAAAAATCACCAAAAATCAAGTGTTGGAGCGAAATTGATTCTGTAAAAACAGAAAATTCTGCATTTCTCTGCAAATCCGTGAAGCTGTGAGCGACTGTGCTGCGATCAACAGTCGCATAAGGAAAAATCCTGCTGAAATCGTCATATTTGATCAAAACGACTTTATTCCACGCGTCTGAAGAATCACCACAAATAAAACATTTGATAGAATTTGTAAGAAAAAAAAACAAAACATTAAAATTCTGAACTGCAGAAGCGTGAGGCCTCCAGCTGCTGTTCAAACGAGGTCTTCAGAGCATCCACATCAATGAAAATGTGATTTAAGTCCCACCGTCGGGACCCTGAACGCCTCACCGACGTCATGACGAAGCAGCATGACGACTCCTCCGTCATTGGAAACAAAATCCTGCGTGTTGTTTTGTTGTTTTTGTCCGTCGGGTCGGATGAAACGCTGCTGATCAACAGATTATTGATCCCTGAAACTGGGTCACTGCAGCAGAACGCGGCAGCAAACACAACCAAGAGCACAGAGACGGAGGAGCGAGCAGCACGACTCGTTTTTGTACATTTTAATGTGAAAAAATGATGAAGCTTAAATCCCAGTTCTGTCCTTGAACGTTCATCTGAGATGTTTACTCGGGTTTGGGAGGTTGTTGGTTTTAAAAATTGCCCCAAAATGACACCATTTATGAGACACAGAAACCGTAAAAACAGAAAAAATCAACACATTTTGAACTTCCAGACGGTCCTTGAACTCCTCACCTGTGACGCGTCGTCTCATTTGTAAAGTTAACCAAATCTGAGCCTGAAATTGTACCATTTCGACAAAATCACTTCGTTAAAAAAATCACCAAAAACATAGTATTTTTTCCAGCCAGATTCAGTAGAGATTTGGAGCCTTTAGCGACAAAAACTCGAGAACTCGGCTGAACTGCAGGACGTGTTTTTGTCCATGTCCATGTGAAAAATCTAGATTTTTACAAATATTAATTTGTTCTTCAGTTTTTCTATAAAATGACATAATCGCTCTGTATTTAAATCAGCAATAACATGATGATTTTACAGATATCTGCTGCTATTTAAAAGAAATATATTAAAGGTTAAAGTCATTTTGTAGATTTTTCCTGTTTTGTTAAATTATGTGTAATATGTAGTGAAATAAATCATGTAAACATTAAAAAAATCTGTATTTTTAACATTTGACGATAAAATAAGTTTTTCATTTAAATCATCAACATTTATTTATTTATTTTATTTTTAAAAAAATTATTATTATTTATCAGTTGTTTGATGGTTTGTTTTTACACTTTTGTTAAATTTCAAGTTCAATAATTTTAATAATAACCTCAAAATTTACATGTTTTTAAAAAATTAATATTTTGAAAAATAGAAATTTCTTCTTTAACATGTTTAACCATAAAATTTCACTTTTTTGCTTCATTTAAATCGGCAAAATGTATTTTCTTTTTTTTAAAAAAAGAAAAGAAAAAGAAAAGTTGTTTGACAGTTTGTTTTTCCAGTTTTATTAAATTACAAGTTTAATAATATTTGACATGATTTTTAAAAAGAAAACAACAACAACAGGGCAAAACTGTAAATAAAGCCCATAAAAAAATCAGTATTAAAAAAATTAAAATTTCCTATTTAACAAAGTTCAGCCATAAAATGTCACGAAAAAACGTTTTATTTATTTTTTTATTTATATTTTCTGCGGTTTAAAAGGAAAATGCTGCATCTCAACAGCTGAAAAATTGAAATAAGTTAGAATTAAATGCAGCATGA